GGATACCATGTTTTATTTCATTATATGCAAGTACTGACGGTCATATATTATGATTTAAGGACCGTCAACACCAGCTCCCACTGGAGTTGGAGTTTGGAGCACTACCGAACGGGGCCTAAGTAAGGTTTGTGTATATAGCTATACCGCTATATCGTGCAACAGACTTCAACAATTATATTTAAAATATTCGTAACCTCATTAATAAAATTTAGCTATAAAGTTTGGATGCAAATATATAGTGTGGTGGTAGCTGGTAAGTATCTTTTTTTGTAAAAAGAAATGGTGATAAGTATATCTGAGAATGGAAAAGTGCCCCTTTTCATTTAGAATTCATGTTTGATAGTGAAAGTTGCTCAAAAAAATCTGGCAAAGATTTTTTTTTTAAGATAATGGAATGAAACATCCCGGCCTTTGCTCAAAAGAGCTACATCCCATTATTACAAGAGTAGCACACTAAAAGAGCTTAGTCCAAAATAAAGCAAATATACCAACCACGAATAAAAGAAAAGCAAACAAGACAAAGAGAACTACTCGAGTCTGTTGGTGAATCTCTAGCCATGGTTGGCGAAAAGTTGCATAACCGTCGTCTCAAGATTACGACATGCAACATTCAAGAACTCTCCATCTTCCTCACACTTTTGCAGTTGAGCCCACAGCCGAAGCCAATATGTTGCTCTGAAAATTACCTGCATATAGGAAACAGATGATGATTTATCAAAAACTCTATCATTCCTACTCAAACACAGAGCCCAACATAAAGCAGAGGCACCAACAAGTATCAGTTTACTCTTTTTCTTGTCCACCCCCAAAGCCAACCATAAAAAATATCAGATATGCTTCTAGGAAGGTATAATCCAAAAGAAAACTGAACAGCTCTCCAAATAAACTTCGCATAATGACAATCTATGAACAAATGATGAATAGTCTCATTTTTCATACAGAAACTGCATCTTAAACTCCCATTAAAATTCCTTCTTGCTAGATTATGTTTAGTTAACACAACTCCCTTTAGCAAGTACCACATAAAGATCTTAATCTTTAACGGCATCTTAAGCTTCCAAATGAACTTATTTCTATCAATGTAACCGTTATTTATTAAATGTAAGTACATTGATCTAACCGAGAACTGACCATTCTGATGATAATTCCATCTAAAACAATCAGAAGAATCATCCAACTGGATATGAGCAATAGAAGCACACAATTCATACCAACATGTTAGATTATGTCCAACTAAAGCTCTCCTAAAGAAAACATTAAGCGGAACAGAGCCCATAACACTTGCAATAGAAGCAGTTTTCCTTCTGACAATAGCCTATAAAGATGGATATTTATCTCTGAAGGCCCTATTCCCTAGCCATTTATCCTCCCAAAATCTTGTTTGTTCCCTATTATTCACAATCCAAGAACCCATACTTAAAAAAGTATTTTTGACATTCATGAGTCCCTACCAAAAATGAGAATCACCTTGTTTTCTGTCAACTTGTGTTATAGACTTATTATAAAGATACTTTCTCTTCAATAAATCTTGCCAAACACCATTCTCATTAATTAACTTGTATAACCATTTACTCAAGAGACATTTCTTTTGAATCTCTAAATTATGAACACCCAAATCGCCCTGGTCTTTGGGTTGACAAATTATATCTCATCTAGTTAATCTTTACTTTTTTCTTATGATCATCCCCTTGCCAAAAGAAACGTGATCTAAAATAATTAATCTTTTGAAGAACCCCTTTCGGTATCTAAAAGAATGATATTATAAACATAGCTAAACTTGAAAGGACTGAATTGATCAAAACCAATCTACCCCCGACAGACAAAAGTTTACCTTTCCAACTACTAAGTTTTTTTTCTCAATTCTTTGCTCAATAACTTTCCAATCTTTGTTACTCAACTTCCTAAAATGCATTGAAATCCCAAGATATTTAAAAAGAAAAAACCCCAGCTTACAACGAAAAATACTAGAATATCGATCATAACACTCATTTGCCTGGCCAAAACAAAATAACTCAATTTTATGAAAGTTAATTTTCAAGCCAGATAAATTCTCAAACACAAATAAGATCAATTTTAGATTCTTTGCTTGTTGTAAATCTTGCTCCAAGAAAATGATAGTATCATCTGCATATTGCAACATAGACAAACCATCATATACTAAATGAGGGATTACCCCATTAAGAAAATCACTATCTTTAGCCCTTTTAATTAGCAAAGCTAACATATCAGCTACTATGTTAAAGAGAATTGGTGATAAAGGATCCCCTTGTCTAAGACCTTTATGTGTTTGAAAGTTGTCACCAATTTGATCCTTAGCTTTAATACCAGCATGTCCCCCTTGGATAAAAGAGGATATCCACTCACACCATTTGGGAGAGAAACCCTTCATCCTCAAAGTCTGTTGAACAAATGACCATTTTATCTTATCATATGCTTTCTCAAAATCAATGTTAAAAATTACTCCACTCATATTTGTACGATGCAATTCATGTAATGTCTCATACAAAATAACCACACCTGCATGATGTTTCTCCCAGGAATAAAAGCAAAGATGGTGGCATAACATATTTTTTGAGACCCTCTAGCGTGCACGTATGTGCGATGCGTGTAGCATAATAACCCTCTAATGCCGTTATGTCAAAGTCCATTTCTTTATGTAATTTAAGCAAAGTCCATTTTTTTTACTCTTGTATAAAAAACGGCTTTGTAGTTTATGGTGAAAAATGGAATTTAAGCGACGTTCAATGAGTTAAAACGGACTCTACCATTAATTAGTTTTGTGATTGTGCTAGTGTTTTAAGGAGGGTCTAAACAGAGGAATTTTTATCCTAAGTAGAGGCTTAAAAAAGGATGGTTACTATTAACACATTTAAGCGCTGTCAGATTTGGGGCAATCTATGTATTCGATTATTTTTCAATTGTAATTAATTAATTATTTAGTGTTCGTAAGCCGGACTGTGCAAACATGCATATTAAACTAAACCGGTTAGATTTCTTATATTGAAACTTATGTGCTTAAATTTAAGTACTAGATTTAACACTGATGCTTTCATGTACAACTAATCATTTTTCATTCTTTCCGTGTTTGCCGACGTAGCCATCGATAATGAAACATCTCCGATGACTTTATTAATCTCAAAATATCCCGGATTAATCTCTTGGAGGAGTTTCTATAGGTAGAGCGTACATGTGTATATTGAGTTTCCACAGGTAGAGCGTGCATAGGTATATTAATTAGTGTGTGTTTTTCTGTATATGGAAGCATATGCGTCTGTAAAAAGATATTAAGCATTTAACAAACGCTTTGCAGGTAGAGGACAGAAAAGATTGATAGCCCAGCCCAGCGTCGCCACTGGGCCCTTTGGTACCATTTCATGACTCGGCCGATCTGCTAGGAGGTTCGTCCGTTCGTGAATGGAATAAGTTCATCTGAGATCTGTAAACTTGTCGACGAATCCGATTTTCGTCCTTCAACCAGAAAACCAGATACAACGCGTCTCTCAATTGTTAAAACCAGTGTAAATGAGGTCCCTCGGCGGTTTTTACTGACGTGACGCCTACGTTGCTAATTTGACTCGGTCTTCATTTGACGTGGCATTGACGTGGCGTTTATGTGACAATTCGATCTGCAAGACAGCAAAGGTAGCCAGTAGCCATGTACATAATTTTTTAAACAAAAATCTTCTCGAGGAAGTGATATGTTGATCCCAACGATAACTCCTTTCTCCTTCTCCTCTCAGAACCCTCTCCGATCCCTCCTCGTCTCCGGTGGTTCGCCGCCGGCGATGGGGGAAGAGAGGTTGGGGGCTCCTTTTCTTTGTAGATCCGTCGTCGGACTTGTCCTGTGTGTCAAATTTTCTTGTAGTTGAGAGTTTCCTTTGGTGCTCGAGGTTGTAGTCGACGCTAGTCGTCCTCATCATAGCGCCATCGCGACTGCCTCCGGTGGTTTTGCCGGAGTTTGCTCACCATGTCTCTACCTTTCTTGCTGCTATCGTCAATTGGGTCATAGTCAGATCGGATCAAGGGTTGGTAACGCCGACCATATTGTCCCTCTCCGGCATGCAAGAATTAAAGGTGGCAACCATAGCACGCTTCTACGTTGAAAAAACTGCAGTAATGAAGCTTCTACCTCCAATGTTTGGAGGCCCCAGCTATGGCTCAGCTCCTAGGCTGATCCAGGTGTGTTGCTTTCTCTTTTTATCTCTGAGACTCTGACAGTGTATTTCTGTGGTAAGGCTGAGTTCCATCAGGTTTGCCAAAGCCAAAACCTCGTTGAGGGATTGAGCCAAGGCAAAATCTGGTGCAGCTTTGCTATGGGCAATCAAGTCATCTTTGACGACAGATCCAGCAAGGCATGCATGGAGGACTTGATTGCTTTTCTTGTACTAGCCTAGAGCCCGTACGTTGCAATGGAAAATAAATTGAGTTTCTAGCTTATTAAATCAATTAATAAAACACTTATTTAGTCTAAGTAATAATATGATTTTTCTTATTGAACAAGTAGGTGATTTTGAAATTTGGAGTGAGTCAATAGGGAAATAGGGAAGTACTCGCTAAAATGTGGTGTAACACTATAGATTGTGGGACCCACATGTTAGTGGTAGGAGCGGTGATGTTAAGTGTACAGATTTTCTATAGTCGTTTGCTAAATTCAGGACTTTTATGTATGTTCTCTGTACCCAAAAGGGAAAGAGATTCTGTGACTTAACTGCTGTGCAGTTGAGTCACTGACGTGTGGGCCATAGCAAAGTAGGACCCACATATCAGTGACTCAACTGCATGTCAGAGGATCTGCTTCCACCCAAAAGGGGTTGTCCTGTAAGATTGGCTATACGAGCCCAGTCCTTTTAATAAACTAGTAATCGTGCACGTGCAAGGCACCTTGGGAGAAAACAACACTTGCAAAAGTCTGTTCACACACTTAAGTTAGAAATATTTCTAGAGCATGTTTCCACACTGAATTTAAATATATTTCAAGTGCATGTTCAGACAATAACTTGGATTTTGTAAGTACATATCTACTAAGTCCATTATAGAATCAAATAGTTTGTGTACATTGTATAATACCAGTTCAGTATGAACTTGTATAGATCAGATAATACATATTGAGGTAACACTCACATGTATGAATTTGTAAATACTAATAGCTAAGCCCCAAACATTAAGAAGGGACCGTATAAAATATATGCAGACTGTGAGTTTAGGTGAAAAGGAAGAAAAAATAAAATGTAATTTCCATGACTGATATACCAACAAAATTTTTGAGTATGGATGACCATGGATGATTGATCCAGAATATGCAGTTCAGCAGAGAAAAGCATATATCTTTATTTTGATGTACATGCATTATCTAACAATCTTGAGTGGAGTTTGCTTTGTGCAAGAATGGATGTCTGGCAATGGCATGACAAGATTGTGCTCGATCGATATGATTGGATAGTTCTACATCTGCATTTCTTGAATCTGATTCTGCTTTCGCTTCAGACTAACAGGTCATGAATCACGTCTAAAATAGCTTATTTGGCTGATCAAGTTCAATGAAAAAAACTTAAGAAACGTCAAAACCCCCAACTGCATGTTGTGCACCAAATGTCAGATCTGAACATCAGTTTGAAGTCAAAATAAATGGATTCTATTCGGGTTTCAGTTAAGCACCTGATGTCAACATATCCTACCTCTGCTTCTCTGCAGAGTTCTTCAAGCCAGCGAAAAGATGACAGAGTCATCCATTGGTAAGCTGCAGTCATCGCATCAACACATTCAGCTGGAGAACCAGATACGAGGGCTTGAGATCCAAATATAAAAACACCAGTGCATCCCTAGCCATGACGTTGTCACTTAGTCGACAAGCAAAGGGCCTCCATACTCAAATTTGATCAATTAATATTAGAAAGTACATTTCATCAAGAATTCGCTACATTCCGTAACAGCCATCCTATCCATTGCATCAAAATATCATTAATAGAAACATACAAACTGATAGATAACAGCTTTGACTTATATATTTAATTAAACAGTGCATATTCTATACCAACGGCAGCAAACCATAAAATTGAGCTTAAATTGGTTATACGTTGATAATAAAGAATATGGTTTAATTGATACCTACATCCAACAACCATGAATACAGTACTTACATGACAAAATTTGCATCAACAAGGAGCATATGAGCTAACTAACAATTTGTATTGATGAAAATTGTATATATCTACAAAACAAAACATTTAGAACAATCCATGCACACAAACTTTTATAGAAGTATTTCTGAAAGTAATGACCTTCTTAATATCAGATGATTCACATTGCTAGTGTTCACATTGAAAAGTATTTCAGAAAGCAGAGAGGAAGAAATTAACTCACATATTGTTGGCAAGGTAGACATTAGTGTTGTCGAAGAAGCCGACAAAGCCGCCGCGGCCTGGGCCATCATCGAGGGTAGTAAATTTGTGGAAGAACTCGTCGAGGGCACACCAAGCTTCTCCACCTCCAAATCATGTTGTGAAGGCGGTGGCCGGTGCGTGGATCTGCTGCAGAGGAGCGATGCGACGGCTGTGTCCAATGCACGTCTTGCGGAACTTGCTCCTATCTTGAGACCTATTCAGCACATGGATGGTTTCAACCGATGACCTGAAAATACAATAATATAACCAAAGCAACAAAGAATTAGATCCAATATATATTAGGTAAAGATGATTAGCAAAGAAACCCAGATGAATTTATTAACCTGCTAGTAAATTTAGGCAGCTTCGATAGTTGGCAACGGAAAGGTCATGAGGCAAAGGCGAGCGATGATGCCCATCAAGCTGTGCGAGATGGCGGATCGATGATGTCAGCAGCCTCATTTGCAGAACTGGCCGGATTCGGAATGGCGGAGCCGTGGAGGCGATCTAATCTTCTCTGCCTGAGGTGGAGCGGCACGGTGCCAGCATCGACCGTCGGGGAAAGAGCAAGTGCGCGGAGGCGGCGATGTGATCGAGCACCATGGGAAGACCTTCCTGCTAAGTAGCCGTGACGAAGGCGGGAGGTGAAAGCATAGTCGCTGTCAACGTAATGTAGCAGCTCCAAGTCCTCTGTGTTCAGATGGGAGTCAGGAATCAACAAGGAAGTACTGCTCACCATTCAATGGTAAAAAATGGACCAAAAAATGAATCCCATCTTACCCACATCCAATGGGAATATAGTATCTACAAATGGGAATATAATCATGAGCATAAAGTTTGATTGTTTTATTCTGACTTTGTGTGTTCCAATTCATACTGCAAGCTGCCGTTATGTCATGCAATAACTCGCAGCAAAACTCTTGCTAGAAGGCTGGCAAATAAGCAATGACAGAACCTTTCTCCAGATGTTCAATTTCAGACACATGGTCCCCTTTAAAAAAATTTAGAAACATTGCTGTCCAAGGATATAAAATTCATATAGAAGACGATGCCAAATTCAGAAAAACAAATACAGTGGAGAATAAACCCGCACCCAACAATTATCCATCTACCTATCCACTAAAACAAGTATATGATATTTGCTACCGGCTTTCAGTCAATTACCTCATCTCTCAAATGACATGCTTTGAACTATCCCTCAACTCCAGTGTATTTTGTTAAAATCATGTGATTCTTCAATTATATATCGAGTGCAAAATTTCAGTATGCAGCATTCTATTTACTAATTGGCATTTTTTTTATCGATCTGTATATTTTATTGGCATTAAAATTTCATCCATTGAGATATGAGGTACATAACTGTTCGTGACCATACTGTTCATCATCGTGAGATGAACAAAAGTTCATCGTTTGAGAGATGAGATACATAACGGTATGAAATTGATACAAGAGAAGATTTCCATGACTCACCTTGGAGAGAGCGGAGAGCACAAACGATTCTGATGGACCATGTTGGGGATCGTGAGTAGAGGAGGAACGATGGATGACGACCTGGCAGTGAGTGGCGAAGGGGTGGCGTGATGGGACGATCGGCGGGGGCTCGGTCACCGTGACCCCGAATTGGCGGTCAGGAATCGATGGTGGTCGCGATGGCAACGGCCGTGAGGAGATCGGCTATGGCGTCTGAAGGGGAGAGCAGAAGAACCGCGGGCGTGGAGAGGGAGATTGCGGAAGGGGAGAGCGGAGGAACCGTGGGTGTGGAGAGGGAGATCACGGAAGGGGAGAGGGGAGGAACCGCAGGCGTGGACGGCGATGTGGCAACACCCGATCTAGGGGAATAACGGCAAATCGCGGGGGGCGGCGGCAATGTCGCAGGGGTGTCAGCACTGGCGAGGTGTGGGTGTGGATGGGCGCGTCGGTGATGCGGGCCAGCAGGAGCGGCGCAGCGATAGAGGAGCAAGAGCGGCTCAGCGGCGGCGGAAGGAGGAGGAGGCGCAGCGGCGGTTCTGGGTGACTTTTTTTTTTTTTTGGCGAGGAGAGGGATTGAGAAGCGCTAATTGCAGGGTTAATCCGGCGCTAATTGTAATCGCGGTATTAATTGCACCTAACAACTCGTGCTTTTTATATTAGTCTATAAATCAACGGCAATTTTCTAATTTTTCATTAACTAGTAAGGGAACCCGCGTATTGCGCGGGCATGTATTTCAGGATGCGTTTGAAAAATTTAGATGGGCGAAATATCAACAGGATGATAACTGCCATGTTTCAAAAGTACTATTTCTACATAATTTTTCTAAACTATTTGTTAGCTTTTAAAAAATATATATTTAATTCATTCGTATAAATAGTTATCTATCATCTGTATAAATACCAACCATGTTTCAAAAGTAAATATTTAGATTGTTTGGAAACTTGTCGGACAAATAATTAAACGTAAACTAAAAAGTAAAATGTTTTGTCTTGTTTAATTGAATGTTTGGTAGCCTTTTTTAACAAATCCTAAATAACTATTATTATTAGTAAACATGCTTTCCTTATTTGTACCATCAAGTTAGTTCTCTTTTTTGTTGGTTCAGATTCATACAAGCTGAGAGGGGAGGGGACGGCTAGTGTTCTGTTGTGCCCATGTGAGAGGAGGGCGAAGTGGAGGGGGTGTTTTGTTCAAAATGATTTAAGTGAAAATCGATGATCCTGTTTCTTTTATCAAAATTTCTAATATCCTTTTTTTCTAAATTTTAAGATGTAGCACATGACAGCTTAAGATTTTCTCTAAAATTATATATATTGGTTAAAAATAATGGATCCACCTATTAAGTACAAATTGATGGTCACATGTCTTTTCTTACAATTTGTAAGGTTTTATTTTTAATTAAGACATAACACGTGATGCCTTAAGTGTGCTACAGAAGATGTACATTGATTTGAGGTGATATAATACTTGTCGACGTTTGATGTCGCGATTCCGGTATTTGCATAGTATGGGGATCGTTGGTGCTAGGGTATACGCGAGACTGAGGTAAAAGAGACGGAGACGATGATTTTTATACAGGTTCGGGCCCCTGAATTGTCAGGTAATAACCCTATATCCTGTTGGCCGAAGCCGGTATTGCTCTTATTCACCATAATCACACCAGTACAATATTTGGGGTAGCCTATCTAACTGTTGTCGACATAGCGGTCTGAAGGTCTGACTCGTAGTCGACAACAGGGTAGCCTTCCTCCTCGAGTTCGTGCCCGGCGAGATCAGAGACAGCGCAATGTCTCTCCTATCAGTATCCGGAGACACCGTAGGGGACTAGCCGTGCCTATCCCTGAAGTCGATATCCGGCGTCTTGTCTTGACGTATGTTGGCTTCTGTTGTTCTGTAGATTGTGGTGGGTGTTGATTGTCTATGTTGATCGTCTCCCCCTCCTAGGGGGCCTTATATTTATACCCATAGGTGTCCCCTTGTCTAAGTAAAATTAGGGAAACCAATATGGATACAATCCGAGTAGTCCTTGTAGTTTACATGTAGAACTCTGGTTGTCTTTCCTTATCCGGAACTCCTCCTATATTCGCAGGTTATTTCCGTATAGGACATGGTATGTGGTGGGTCCTGCCGAGATTTAGTCAACTACTATTAGGTATGTGGTATCCATAATCCTGACAGTAGCCCCCGACTTCAATGCAAATGAACGAATTCATATTCTCAACCACGCGCAGACTTTGGAGTAACTGTTATCGAGCTCATGTGACCGTTCTCGATGAGTTCAGAGATAACGTTAGACTTCCTTTATCAACCTCGTGCGGGCACCTAAAGGGTTTGTCTGAGTCAATCTCTGATGTCAACTAAGAAAGTAGAGAGCATACGACTAAGTCTCCCGTCTTGCTGTAATCGAGAATTTGGATTGAAGTCAAGAAATTTTATCTCGGCGGGTACACCATCTCTTCATTCCGTACTCCTTGTCGAGATCCACCAACCGTTCTCGAGTAATCGAGTAGGCGTAGAGTCTGCGACGGAGCCTTGTCAACATTTGTCGTACTCGCCTTAGTCAATCTTGGTGTAGAACCATAGAGACATGGAGTCTTCGATAATGTCGAATAGAATTTTCCAATGTTTTGTATATGAGCGTCTACCGACTTCGATCAGTCAGTTTGTTAAGTTATACACTCTCCCTAGCCCCCAGCCTTGTCATCGGAGAATCGTTCTCGGATAATGAGGCTCTTGGACCTTTGACCTGCCTCGGTTGAACAAGCACTGATCCTAGCCCCCAGCCATGAAGTTGGAAAATCTATTTCCGATTACACGGCTTGGTTAATACGCACGGCGAGAACTCTTACACGACTAGATCTTACATGGTCTTTCGTCTCTGAAGAATCCGACAAGGCCTTATCCGCTCTGGGCGTCCCCAACCAAAGTTCCCTTAGGTTCCTCGGAGGCCTTGTCAGGACGACGTAAAGGGACATTAGGATAGGTTTCAACGCTAGGTGTCTTTGTGGTAAGGGATCTCTGGGTAAAACACTTGGCGATACTGTGCACCTGATATCAACTTTGTTGAAGTAGAGGTAATGGGAGAATCGCTACACCTCTGGTCAAGAACCAGGTAGTAGTCGTAACTCAACCACTAGAAGTAAATGTACGAGAGATCGCTACGATTGACTAGTTGAGAACCAGTGAGTAGGTATCTCTCGATCATTTGAAGTCGTAGTACGAGGACCGCTGCGTTATTGCTGTAGTCATACCTCGACCATCTGAGGTTGCACCAATGGAAGCGTTAGAGTTGGTTTATTACATGTGCATCTCATGTGGCCAGCATGACTCACACACCCAACTAGTAGCATATCCGGATGTCCGTTCGCAATCATGTCGGGTGATCAAACCGACAACGTTCACAAGGAATTATCCGTTAACAACTTTTTCTCAAATAGTCCAGCCATGGCCGGTGCTATGAGATAGGTCATCGGTCTTCGTTGGTAGGTTGGGCACGACGACTCTGCATTTGTCGAGATCGTCCTCGATAATGCGGTGTACTTGACCACAACCTACTCGAGTGCTCAATTGTTCCTGCAAAATATTTTCTAGAAGACAAGATATATAGCAGATAATATCGAGTATGTACTCAAAAAACTGCATGGATCTTCTAGCATTATCAGGATATAACGAGCAGATTAAATATCAGGGCATTATGTAAACCGTAAATAAGCATGATATATACATAGGAAAATAGAGCGAGCCCCCAGCATTAAACCGTTGTCGATTTAACATCGGGGACACTTGCACAATATATATTGTATAAAAAACATGCTTTAGGTAATTAAACATAATAAATTATAGATCTGACAATGCTGTATGATCTGAATAGGTATGATAAATTGCAGATAAAATATTGTGTACCTTTGTAGATACATGCCGGATGTATCTATGAAATTAGTAGATCAATTTAAAAAACCAATCTATCAATTACCTTGTCACGTACTCGTTCGATATCATGCGATCTGACATCTTTTGGTACGTCGCGTATCTTGAGGCTTGGTCGATCTCGAGAGATCGAATTGTTGATGACGATGGTTCCGATCTCGTCGGGAGATGTACTTAGACAGGTTGGATCTCCCCACAGCTAAAGTCGTCGAGTAGCTTGTTGTCGGAGAGTCCATCTCTTAAACCCATCTCGTCGAAATCCTGAAGCACCAAAATCCCCCTACCTGGTGCGCCACTGTCGACGTTTGATGTCGCGATTCCAGTATTTGCATAGTATGGGGATCGTTGGTGCTAGGGTATACGCGAGACTGAGGTAAAAGAGACGGAGACGATGATTTTTATACAGGTTCGGGCCCCTGAATTGTCAGATAATAACCCTACATCCTGTTGGCCGAAGCCGATATTGCTCTTATTCACCATAATCACACCAGTACAATATTTGGGGTAGCCTATCTAACTGTTGTCGACATGACGGTCTGAAGGTCTGACTCGTAGTCAACAACAGGGTAGCCTTCCTCCTCGAGTTCGTGCCCGGCGAGATCAGAGACAGCGCAATGTCTTTCCTATCAATATCCAGAGACACCGTAGGGGACTAGCCGTGCCTATCCCTGAAGTCGATATCCGGCGTCTTGTCTTGGCGTATGTTGGCTTCTGTTGTTCCGTAGATTGTGGAGGGTGTTGATTGTCTCTGTTGATTGTCTCCCCTCCTCCTAGAGGGGGCCTTATATTTATACCCATAGGTGTCCTCTTGTCCAAGTATAACTAGGGAAACCAATATGGATACAATCCGAGTAGTTCTTGTCGTTTCCATGTAGAACTCTGGTTGTCTTTCCTTATCCGGAACTCCTCCTATATTCGCAGGTTATTTCCGTATAGGACATGGTATGTGGTGGGTCCTGTCGAGATTTAGTCAACAATACTTATTGTCATTTTTTACAAAGCTCTGTTTTTTTATATTTGGTTAGCATGCAAAGGATAGGTGTGTATGCTCAAATTGTGTATTTCTTTATTTTTGTAAAGTGAAATATGAGTGATATGGATCTTGAATTATTTATTTAATTATAAATAAAATAACAATTCAAATAAACTAAAAATCAAATATAACATAAGAATCATAATTATTTAGCTTTCCAATTATTGATCATTTTTATATTATGTTGTTAATTAGTTAAAAATTATAAGACAGATGAGTTGAGTGAGAGAGGAGATGAAGAGAAAGTCAAATGGGACAAAATATGAACACTACAAATCTACTAATTTTATTATTGATTTATTATACTATCCGAATGGGAGAAGTAATTTTTTTGGAACAATAGTCAGTGTTATTAGGTTTACTTTACTTTTGTCATTACTTTATTGTGAACTTATATACAATGATAAAACATATATCATTATTTTTCATAATTTTATAATTGTTTGAATGACATGCAAAAGTCAGAAAATATAACCCCAAATATGGGTCTTTAAATGTAAAATAATCAAAAGACATAAGAAAAATATTACTTGTATGATTTAGGGGATCCCATGATTTATGGTATAGCTGCTTATTTTTTAGCATAACTCTTGCTTTCTAACTAAATATTTTG